AGCCCCATTTGGGCCCCATTTACTGTCAAATATGACACTGACAAGCGGGAAATTTCGCACCTGGACTAGAGATTTCTAGAACTATCGGGAATACCTGAAGAAAAGTATATAAGCGACGACGAGAACCAGACCGGGGAGAGTGAAGTGACAGCCGCGCCTGAGTGCAGAAGAAGTTAAACCCGCGAGTCGGAAATCCGTATTTTCCGTGTGTTATTGTTATCGTTTGTGAAGTTGACATTAATTTTAGAAGTTAGTTTGTTCCTGTTCCGTAGTTAAAGTTGTACCGAGTGGAATAAAAGTTGTAAGCTGAGGAAAGAGTTTTAATACTCGGCCATCCACGGTACAATATTATTAATAAATGGCCCTTAAAATAAATGTAAAAACAAGTAAAAAAGTCATCAATATTTTCCCAGCAACGAAACTGAGTTACTGCGCCGATGCGTTGGGTTGGCGCACCAAACCATTTGCAAAGCACTGCCTCAGCTCCTAAAAATTCACTGAGTTACACAGGCCTACCGTGAAGTACTTTCAAAACATAATTTAAATAAATCGGATTAAGTTTCAAAATGCATTGATAGTTTCAAATGGAAAAGCTTTCTTTTCCCCCAGCCCTTTGGCTGAATTTCCGCATGTCAATCATCGGGTGGGCATGTTTAAATAATGAGCCCCCGTTCACTCAGCCTCTAAAAAACCGCTCGCTGACAGGTTGATTAGGCCGATAATCGTGCTTAAATAATGAGCAACTCAGTTGCTTCCAACAGTCACAGCAATGCCTGGATGGGTGCTGTTTTCCATCCTGCTGCTCTACGAGAATCCAGTTCTTATTTCAGCGTCTGGTGACTCTACAATTAAGGAGAGCGTATCCGCTTCAGTACGTGACGTTCAAGGCTTGCAGCTGCTGGTTCAGGAAATTCTTCTAAAAACTTTTGAATCTGGCAAATGCATATTGATCCTGGCCGACTCAATGTACAGGCCTTTGTTCCAAGGCCCCTGGTTTCGACGCTACAAAGGCTCCGCTTCCTTCATCATGGTAACTCGAATTTCAAACTATACCGTATGATCTCAGAGGACTGAAACTGATCCGTTGAAGATACACACAGACGATGCCGAGGATCTCCTAGCACCCTGCAAGGCCACACAAGCCAGCCTGGATCTGGCTAGAAACAACAGCTGCCAACTTTACATCATTTTGGTGGCCAATGGCCAGCAAGTGGGTCGACTACTGAAATTTGGCGACAGGTGTGAACCCCCGCCTTGTTCCAGCGCATACAATTTCTGAGGTTTTCCAGGTATCGCCTGCTAAATACAAGAGCCAATTACCTGATGCTCTTCGACAGTCGCCTGTTTTCTGAAGAACTGCTGTTTCTCTGGAAGCGGATCATAAACGTGGTGTTTATCAGGCAGTTTAGCGGCAAGGCTCAGAAGAACGATTGGTTCGAGCTGAGCACGGTACCCTTTCCCATTGCCTTTAGGGACGTGCTGGCGCCCAGACGGCTGGACGTATGGAACCGATCGCAGTTCAGAAAGGGTAAAATTTCCAGTTAGACTGCACCATCAAGAGACACATAAGCAAACAAGTCTGTTTACAGGATCTGTCCTGTTCAAGGACAAGACCTGGGACTTGAAGAACGAAACACTGCGGGTGGCGGTTTTCGCTCATGTACCAGGCACCTTGAAGGCCAACACCTCAAGTTTGCGAACTATTGATATTGGACCCGCTTTTGCTGGCTCGGAGATCGAGGCAATATGTTATAGTATTAATAAGTTTTAAACGCTAATTAGTTGTTTGAAGATTTTGATAACCATTGCGAAGCAAATGAACTTCCGCTGCGAGCTGTACGAGCCTGAGGGTGCTGGCGTCGAGCTTTGGGGACGCAAGCACGTTCGCCCAACATACACGGGGCTGCTGAGCGAAATGAGCACCTCCAGGGCTGATATAGCCCTAGGCGACCTGTACTATATTCCGTTCGTGCTGGGAATTATGGACCTGAGCATTCCCTACAACACCGAATGCCTCACATTTCTCACCCCAGAAGCGCTGACTGACATCTCCTGGAAGACGCTGTTGCTGCCTTTCTCGTAAATGGCATGTTTTCGTATTTTTTATAGGGGTCTGCCAGTATATTGTTCCAGACCCATTATGTGGGCTTGCGTGCTGCTGTGTTTGTTGCTCACCAGTGCCACTTTCTACATTCTGGCCCGGTTCCATCGAGGCATCGACGGCAAGAAGCAGCTGACCAGCAACCGCGCAATCAAGTTGCAACTGCACAACGCTCCTGAGGACCTAAAGTACTCGCTGTTGATGAGGCAATACACACGTACTAAGCAGGCGGGTGAACCCGAGGGCCTGTTCCAGTTTGCTGAGACTGGTAACAGCCTTTTGTACACCTTCAGCATGCTTCTATTAGGTAACAGTCGCGTTTTAGTCCTCGCTCGTTGTCAGCAAGTGCAATTTCAGTGTCGCTACCCAAGCTGCCGACTGGTTGGTCGCTGCGTTTGCTGACCGGTTGGTACTGGCTGTACTGCTTGCTGGTGGTGGTGTCCTACCGTGCTAGCATGACTGCCATTTTATCTAGGCCAGCCCCCAAGTGAGTCATTCAGCAGCGTGTTCATAAACAAGGCATCAACGTGCGTTAAATGAGTCTTTCAGGGTGCGT